ATTATCTCTCAATGGTTTATTTACATCTTTAAAGTCAGAATATACCACTTTTGTACCAACCTTGGGATGGAACGTCCTTGGAGACGTACATTACACACGTACAGTAAAGGAATCTGCTCAAAAGGGCAGAGATTCAATAGAGAAGCACGACTACGCCACACAGTCGCTGATCTCGGCTTAAACTATAAAAATGAAAAAATGCGCCCAAAAAATGGCCGAGAAACCAGGGTGGGGGGGGGGGGGGGGGCGACCGCGCGGTGCCCTTCCACTTTAAAATACAGCACCAGCCGCCGGACTCATCGCGGCTTCGCCCCAAAGCGCTTCAAGGCTGGAGAAACCAAAAACACCTCTCGTTTCCAATTCTGCCCCGCCGGGGCCACAAGGACCCGTGTGTGTGTGTGTGTGTGTGTGTGATGTGATTCCACTCGCCAGGATGGTCCTGCTTCTCCCCCAATCGATGGAGCAGCGCGGCTCAGGCTGCTCATGGGACGATGCGATAAGGACACACGTGTGTGTGTGTGTGTGTGTGTGTGTGTGTGTGTGTGCGCAGCGGATGAGTGTAGGTCTAATCATCCCACCGGGCCGATGTGAAGTGCAATTGCCCTGTTCAAACAAGCAGTCCAAACACGACACACACAAACCCTTGATGGCCCACTGATTACTGCATTAGGTCCCTGCCCCCCCTCCCCCCCCCCCCCGCTACCACTCGCTGGTATTACACGCACGCCGTAACCAGATTACCGGGTGAGATTAAAGCGCCTCCGTCTGTTTGCGGTTGGTTTGTTGATGGACGGGTTAATATCTGGTGCCGCTGTAAAACAGCTCCCGGGTTATTTAAATATGATCACCCGGTTGAAGAGTTCACGCGCCGCACACGGCAGCCTTTATGCCCAGTGCGTGTCCAGTTAAACCAAAGAAGAATCTTCATTTCTTTTTGCAAATCAGGCATCTCAGGATTACTCATACTATTTAAAAAGCAACTTCACAGGCGCTTATCCTCGGGGGCCGCCGGTGAAACGCTTCGTACCGGAGAGGTTGTCCTTCCCAGCGGTGTTTTTTGGGGCCTTTTGTCCAATTGCACATGCGCGTGCATGTGGGAATCACAAAAGCCGCCTGATCGCATGAGTCTGGCTTTATATGAGGGGCGTCACAGGGTCACATGATAACTTGGTTAGTCGGGGTTTGGGAAGGGCGGGGGGAGGTTAGGAAGAGGTCCCACTGGGTTGCTGACAGGATGGGGGGAGGGGCTAAAATGAGTCCATTCACGCTCTGCTGGACCTCGGGCATGCTAACTGGCTACAGCGCTAATCTAGTTAGAGCTGGAAGCCACGCAGAGACAGGGCGCGGATGGGGAAGGTATCGTATGTGTGTGTGCATGGGGGGGGCGGGGGGGGGGGTGCCCCATGGCAGGTGGTTGAGGCTGACGGCGCTAGCGAGAGGGCGAGTCATGGCGGAGGGGCAGGTGTGTGTATGGCGGAGGTTTACCATCCCATATGACACAGATGGAGGGGCGAAAGTGAAAGGGGTCGGCCCGGTGATTAGACCCCCGCGAACCCTCCACCGACCCCCCCCATCTGTCTCTCAGGCTTCTTTAATCCTTTTATATCCTCCTGTCACTCAAAAGCGAGGCAGTCGGATCTGGATTGTTTACAGTGAAACGTTTCTATGGACGGAGGCTCCGCAAAGCTGACTTCGGTCTCACAGAGCAAACTTGACAAATCAGCCGTCCCGGGTTTAAAAAGCCACATCCTTTTTTTCTTTACAGCGTCACGCGCCGTCGTTCTCACGGACCTTTCGCTTGCGGAGGTCACTTTGAGCAACTCGCTGAACCGCGGAGAACCTCGGAGGTGTTTTTCTTTCTTTTTTAGTTCTGACTTTTGACTTCACAAGAAAACCCTTGAAGTCACAAATTCCCTGCAGGACATTTGGAGACAAAGAGAGAGAGAGAGAGAGAGAGAGAGAGATAAGAGAATAAGAGCGAGGGAAAGATCTACTGGAGGCCGAGAATGAATGCGTGGTTGGGAGGGCCACACAAAGGCTCCGTCACGCCATAAAATTACGACATACACAATCATTTCGTTTAATAAGTGATTCACGGGGTCATCAGGGGGGTCGCGAGCGGGGCAGTGAGCGTGCCCGTCACCTTAGGGGTGCCCGGCGCGATGGCCGCCCGGCTCACGCTGGACTTCCTGGGTCTCGTCGTGAGAAAAACACGAGCCGACTGTGCGGAGAGCGACGAGGCAAAGCGCCCGCATCTGTTTTCACACGCAATCAAGTTACAAGGCAGCGAGCAGGAGAAATACCTCCGTCTGTACACAGCAGGTTCAGATCACAGCTGTTCCAGAAATGTAATTTTTTTTTTTTTACTCTCTGACATGCGCAAACGGCACATGCACGAAAGGGAAAAAAAAGAAAATGTGTCGGCCGCTTCGATTCGCCGGTGGCAGAAGGTTCAGCACAGAGCCGCTGTATTGAAAGTCCTCGGGCTCTAGAGCAAAAAACTGTGTTTTTAAGCAGATCTGACATACTGGCTTTGAGGACGGCCTCGTTGACTTCGATCTCGCCCCTCATCGGCTGCTCCTGCTGCTGCTGCTGCAGGTGGGAGAAGTAGTGGAGCGGCTCGGGGCTCGGCGCCGTGCCGGAGTGGCCGTTGGACATCGTCTCCTCGGGGCTCTCGGCCCTCCCGCGCCGCACGTCGAACACCGCCACGAGCTGGAAGAGAAACACACACACACACGCGGGAGGGTCAGAGGAACGACGTCTCAGAGCGGAGGCCAAAACAACGTCCCCTCCGATCTAACAAAGATCTGACTCGCTGAGGTCACACACACACACAAGCCGAGGTGTGTGGAATAAGCAGTCAAATGAGATCCGACGCGAGAATGAGAAGCTGTCAAACGCAATGACACGGTTGCCGTGGTGAGGCGAGAAGAGGGCGACGGAGGGCAGGAGGAGAGACAAACAGCCCTAATTGAGACGGGGACATGATGGCAGATAGATCGCAGAGAGGGGCCACGTGTGTCAAGGCCGTGCCCGTTTTGACGAATGGGCGCGCGGCGGAGTGACGCTCTCATTAGACGGCGCCGGCGAAGGAAATGACCACTTAATGAAAAGCAATAACCGCGATGGGACGAGACAACGGGAATAAAACAACAGACGAGCGGAGGACGTCAATTAACAGCGAGCAGGGAGCTCGGACAGGCTGCGTGTGCTGTGCGGCGGCGTCCGCCTCTCTCGCCTCAACCCGTGACACCGGGCGGACGCCACGCAAAGGAGACACAGACGAGAGGAAAAGAAAAAGACAGAAAAAAAAAACGATCTGAGCGGCGAGCTTGACGGATGCTTCTCGCTCTCTCTCTCTCTCTCTCTCTCCCGGCTTTACAGGCCGACCCGCCGCTTCCCCTCATCACTCAATCGAACATCCACCGCCAACCACACAAGAGATCGGGGTGCCGCTTCATTTGGAAACAGGCTGACTTGGGCTTTTTTTGACCCATCGACTTTTAACTCCACCCACCTCTGATCAGGGTCCGATGTGGGGGGTGGGGGTTGGGGGGGACTTTGCATCCACACCTGCCGGTAATATTGTCAATGAAAACTCTACAAAAAAACAAAAAATGCTATTCTCTAAATTGACCCGGTCGACAGGAAGTGTCACTAAAAGGAATAACAGCCCAGCGCTCCCTCTGTACGCGCTGGTGCTTTTGTTCTGCCGCGATCCGAGTGATCTGGCCCTTTAATATCATGCGACATGTCCCCTGCTGTTACAGCTTTGCTTAATGTGCTGCTGCTGGTAGACATTACATCGCAGCCCTCAGCCTCAACAGTCACTGTTATAGAGAAACTCTATGGCTGGAGAGGAACCTTGGGAGAGGGGGGCGGGGGCATCGTTCTTTTTGTTATTATTATCATCCCACAGCCCAAAGCGGTTTTGATTACAATCCTTCAAAAAACGCTGGAGACCCGGAACGAATATATGATGAAGAGAAAAAGTAGAAAGGAGAAATCAGAAAACACCTTGAATGGCTCGCAGTGTGTTTACTCAAAGCTCGGCTCTCTTTTTTTTCTCCTTCGTCTGTCGGGGGGCCGGGGGGGGGTTATAGAACCTGGGGAGCCTGCAGGTCTACTACTGCTGAATTATGTGACCCCTTTTGTCTCATTTCCATAACACAAATACACACAAGAGCCCGAAGCCTTCACATCACCGTGTTATGATCTCGTGTAAATCATGCGGCGGCGTGTGTATCCAACGTGCCCCGACTCTGTGTGTGTGTGTGTGTGTGTGTGTGCGTGCGCGTAGCATGAAAGCGACGGACGCAAGTGAAAGCTGTGTACAGTAGCGTGCGTGAGATAAACGCTTCACGCTGCCTCGCGCGCGGCGGGGTGAAATGTTTGCATCCACGCAGGCCCACGGCGGACAAACGTACACTTCTGTTCACAGAGGAGAGGTGTCGGCGGATGGGGGGGGGAGTTGGGAGGGGGGGCACACAACCGCCCACTCGAGTCCTGTAAAGCTTCCGACGCATTGTAGGGTCGCTTCCCTGTGATCACTCGCCGCCCTTCTCACAGATGGAATCGAGTTCTTTCCGAGCGACAGTTTTTCATTGTATTTATTCGAGCGGATAAAAAAAACCCCCACACAAACACACACGAATGTTTCTTTTGACGAAAACAAAAACGGTGTGTTTGGTGGCGTCGTGAGTTTCAGTGGGGAGTTGTCGCATCCCCTTCCGGTGCAGTCTTTCCTGGAACCGAGGTCAACCCTTCTTCCATTTCAGAAACTGACAGGTGTAATCACACTACAAAACCAAAAGGTCGTCCTGCCGGAGGCCTCGGCCGGGACGTGGTGCCTTCAGAACGCCAGGGGGACGGATCCAAACCCCAGTACTCCCCGGTGGACGATGGCATGTAGTTCCAGATGTTCAACCAAACACTGCCCCCCCCCCCCCTCTGAACAACTCAGTGACCGCTGAGCAAACTCCTTATCGGGCGGGTGGACGCCGACTCGCCAGAAGTGACGGCGTTGCTTTACGGGCCTCGGAAGCTTTGCCGTAATGTTTTTTCTTCTGCTTCTGTCTTTAATAATGGACGGTGTTTACACGCTGAGGCTCACTGACGCAACACTGGAGCGTCTGTCAGGATTGATGGAATGAATTAGCACGTCCTTTATGAGGCACTCTGTGCAGGGATGTACGTTGAGCACACCCACACATATATAAGCATGCACTGTTGCAATACACACCAATTGTTAGTATGTGGAAACAATCACACACGCGGACACACACGCGTTTCACGCTGAGAGGATGAACAGTGCCACCTTGCTTTAGTGGAACCTCACTGCATGCTGGTACCACTCACGCCTCTGGCCTTTACATAGGCATCAACACACACACACACACACACACACACACACCCTTCCTTATTTCATCTGCTGGTACTAATCAACCCATTTTTCTTCTCTCTCTCAACGTTGTCTAGCACTGCTGTGTGTGTGTGTTTGTGGCATCACTCTATTGAGATGCTCTGTTTTTGTGCCGCTGTCATTTATCTTGCTGCCCCCCCCCCCGCCCTTCCCCTTACCTCCGTTTTCTCCCTCTGTTCCTCATTCTTTCTTTGAACGAGAGATGCATAATTCAGAAGGAGCGCACAGCGTCCTGACAGCGAGAGCGGTAACCCAATCATCTCACACACTCGTGCACACACACACACACACACACACACACCGCAAAGACACTTTTCGAGCACTGAAATCAAAATCATGGAGATTGGAACCTCCTCGAAATAAGGGGCGCTTAAATCAGGACGAGTACCCACAGTGCACTGGTACAGCGAAGGAGTGCGCCGTGCTCTCTGCATCCCGTCGGCGGCGAGTCGTAGAAGCTCACTTTTGTAGTTCTTTTTTTTCTTTCTGCAAACTGCTCGAAGGGATTCAGTGGATTCCTCCTTTAATGAGGAACTAACGCGCAGGGTGGCGCAAAGACCCGAGCGTGTAGCAAAAACCTGATCCACGTTCAAGGCCACTTGCTGCACACTGAACACACACACACACACACGTTTCCAGGCCCCTGTGCAGGGCCGACAGAGGAATGTGTGGCCTCTGCTAGTTAAACAAGGAGAAAATTGGGAGCATTACCGGTGAGCGCGAGAATAATCCTGCTCCTCTCTCAGCCCAAATCCATACAGCGCACTAGCAGATGTGGAGTCCCTCTCAGGGACACACACACACACACACACACACACACACACATCTGGCCGTGGGCCTGCAAATACACAAACACCAGAGTCAATCAAATTAATGTTGCCTTCTTTCCGTAAGAAGGGGCGTGTACCAAAATAAAAAGCTAAATTCCTGGTGGTGGTGCAGCGGCGTAAAGATTTGCGTTTATGCAAATGTGGCTATATGACAACGCTGACCTCACCGCGCGTCCGCGCAACAACAGACAAAAAGACGCCGCACGAGGTTGGCTCAGAAGTGAGACGGCATTCCAGGCACGTCCCTCACCCTCTGACATGAAAGGCAAACTGGACGATAATGCGATGAGTCATCTCAGGGAAGCTGGGATACTTTCCAACGTGACTCGAGTTTATTGAACAAGTGTGTGCGTGGTGAAGAAAACAAGCGCGGCGGTAACTTTGAAGTTGTCCGAACTATTTAGAGTCAGTAAGACTCTTAAGGGCACCTGCTTATTTTATCGGGTCTTGGATTGAGATGATATCACTGACACTATTTGTAGCAACGTGTTCACATTAGAGACGCATGCTGGAAATCCGGATCCTGCAATTTCCTGGGAATTACCAAACTCGGTCCGTCAGAAAGAAATCCTGTGAGATTTTTAGCATACGCACAATTTGTTGGATCATTTTCTTTTTTTTTTTTTATCCAATTCCTCAGACTGGAGATTAGCACACGCAGTAATCTCTAAAGTAAAGCGGCAGCTTGCAATCAAACCTGTTTTGGCAACGTTATTTGTCCAATACGGAATCTTCACTTATTGGACCATTTTTCCACCTGAGGAATGGGATCTGTGATTAATCATTGACCGCTCAGGTTCCAAACCAAACTATATCAAAGGCCAGAAATTGCAGTTTGACAACTGAAAAAAAATAAATCATCCCAAGGTAGAGAACACAGCCAAACAGAGCCAGAGCGACGGTTTGAGGAGAAAACAAAGTGTTCTGCAGGTACACTGCAAAGCACGTTCCTCACGGCACAGAAAAGGTCTCAGTTATTGTTCAGCCACTTCATTTGCGTCCACGACTCAACATCTGTCGCGTCGGCCGCAGTGATGGAGCATGTGTGCAACAGCCGAGCGCGTGCACGGGCCTAAACACACACACCGCCACAAGCAAACACACGCACAGCCGAGGCCCTGCGGTGAAAGGCCACATTATTATTTATGCACACTCATAAAGGGAGAGGGTAAACTCTTCATAAATCACACATACCCCCGAGAGGCTGGGAGGGGGTGGAGGAGGGTGAGGGGAGCTCCAGGCTTCGTATTTCTCAGCCCAGCGAAGGCACATATCAAACCAACCAAAAGTCCTGATCCGCTGAGGAAAGACGGCAAAGCCGCGAACCCCTTTTTAACGGCAACGTGCGCTGAATCTGACGACCTCCACCTCCTCCTCCTCCACCAGCACCCCTCCCGGGACAAAGAAACAGAAGGAGTGATCCAGTCTGAGCTGCGAGGCTTCTGCCCTCCCACCTGTGG